CCAGCCACCCTGCCCCTTCTCGCCGCCGGCCCCCTTCCGTCACGGCACCAGCACCAGCACACCATCTCCGCGCTCGCTACCCGCCCACACATCGTGCCAGCTACTGGCCTTTCGAACGTCAGCATGCTGCCTCCCGGAAAGTGAGTTGTGAAGAATGCATAAGAAGTATACGCAGCACGACCAGGTTTTGTGGTGCAATAGTAGACCGTCCCACGCTTGCAAATTTTTTTGAGCACACTGGATTACTGGGCAGATTTGGATTCTTTGTCGAAAACTAAGGTTGACGTGTCTGAGGGTTTTCGAACTTTCGATAAATTGGTGGGTGCTCAACGCCCTTGAAGTTTTGACACTTTTTTTCCCCACTTGAAGTACTCTAAAGTCGCTCTAAATCGTCCCAGATGAACGGGTGAGGTATCGTTGGATTCGTTGGACCCTACTGTACATGAAACCACCGCGCCCGAGCCCCTGGGGTTGATTGCCTACCTTCCGGGGGCCCGAAAATGGCCCAGTGTACCCAAAATAAGCTGTTTTTCGGGGTTTGCCGGGCTCCAGAATCAGCTGAGAGCACCTCCGGAAGCCTTTTCTGGTCGGGATGTGTTGGTAGAGTGTACGCTTACGCTGGGGAACCGCGGCTGGCTTACTTAGAAGGGCTGCCTATCTCTCATGGGCAGATAATGCAATTCGGAACGGACTAAACAGTGATAATGACGTCAAAACCACCCGAAATCGCGCTATATACAGCTGTGTCCACGCTAGGTTCCATTGAACCCAGAAACACCACACAGTGCTAAAAACCAGGTTGCTAGTGAATACAGCGCGATTTCGGGTGGTTTTGACGTCATTATCACTGTTTAGTCCGTTCCGAATTGCATTATCTGCCCATGAGAGATAGGCAGCCCCTCTAAATAAGCCAGCCGCGGTTCCCTAGCGTAGACGTACACTCTACCAACACATCCCGACCAGAAAAGGCTTCCGGAGGTGCTCTCAGCTGATTCTGGAGCCCGGCAAACCCCGAAAAACAGCTCATTTTGGGTACACTGGACCATTTTCGGGCCCCCGGAAGGTAGGCAATCAACCCCAGGGGCTCAGGCGCGGTGGTTTCATGTACAGTAGGGTCCATCGAATCCAACGATACCTCACTTGTTCATCTGGGACGATTTAGAGCGACTTTAGAGTACTTTAAGTGGGGGAAAAAAGTGTCAAAACTTCAAGGGCGTTGAGCACCCACCAATTTATCGAAAATTCCAAAACCCTCAGACACGTCAACCTTAGTTTTCGACAAAGAATCCAAATCTGCCCAGTAATCCAGTGTGCTCAAAAAGATTTGCAAGCGTGGGACGGTCTAGTGCAATAGGAACCCCTGGAGATACGTGCTTTTTACGATTATTTTCTTTGAATCATTTGCGAACGCGGATTTTGTTAAAATTTACAGAGTAAACTTCTCGACGAGTGCGAGTAACAACATTTGATCATGCTACGCGTCCGTGCAACAATATCCTATCTGTTTTGCTGTTCCGAAGGACTCTTATCTGCGAAACATGTTTCGCTACCCCAAAAGACTGGCAAGTTGGGCTACTTTTAGGATAGTGAAACAGATAGGGTAAGGGAGCGCGTCCCATGATACACTTTTTGGATTTCAGTCCTGTAGGCCACAAATGATGGCACAGTACCCCCATTTTTATGGTTTGGTGTTAGTATGAGGCTTTTACCTTTCGAATGACACCTATTTTGTAATTTTAGTACGACCCGTTTGAAAGCAAAGGCTAATCTACGAAGACCTTGCAAAGTATCATGGGGTCCCAGATGCACTTGGAATTTATTCGAGAACTGAGTTAAACAGTGCCCGCTTTTTTTTAAGGCTTTTTAACTACTACACACTAGGACACACTGAATCTAACAAATATAGGACGTTGCAACGTATGGATTCCTCCTAATTCATAACGCAATTTGATGATTCTTGGCAAGTAAAACTACACATACAGGGTGGGTGATCCGCGCCGTGGTTTTTTTCTGCTTATGCTGTACCGGATTCATGAGTGCGGGCGGGCTTGCCTATCGTCGCTCGCGATGGCGCCTTACGGCCCCGTGCAAGTATGCAACCCCCGCACGCATGAATGCGGTACAGTATAAGCAGACAAAAACCACGGCGCGGATCACCCACCCTGTATTGTAGAGATTAGCGCTATGATCAAAACTAGTATACCTAAGCAGGCGTCGCCCGACCGACTTGGAGCAGTATTTTTAGGTGAAAGTAACCGACCAATGACCAATTAGACATCTGATTGGTTTGGTGGAGTGCTGAAACACATGAAAAGTGGTGTATCATGGGATCCCAGACAAAAGTGTATCATGGGTCCCCAAGGTACAAAATTTCACTTAAAGCGGCGTACGAAGGGTCTCGCGTCCCGTTCACGACTCCAGACTTAAAGTGAAGATTGAAGACACCACAACCCGGTCCGATTATTTTATCAAGTGGACAAACGAGGGCCAATCATGTCTTCTAAAGAATTTACTTTTGCTCTAAAATGACTCAGTAAAACTTTCGGAGTGGCTCACGCCGAGGCTAAGTGTAGTAGAACAGCCATTCTTGATCGTTAACATCGTTACTGAAGGAAAACATCATACTATTTTTTTGGTGGACCTAACTACTATGGTATCTGAGATATCGCAAAAGTATCATCAGTGCTGCCCATCAATATGCCATATGGATGCATTTTCGTCTAAGTGAAGTAATCTACCCCAAAATAGTGATGTTATTCGGATGTCATCAAAATTAACTCTCCCTAGGAGAACAGGTTGGTCACTTTCAAGTCATTTCCATGTTTATGACGTCCAAAATGATATCCCTATAGGGATTGAGCTCAACCAAAGTAGTGACCAAATTGTGACTAAATTGCGTCATTTTGATGTACCTGTGACTATCATGTGCTCGAGCTCCTTGGGCCGAGAGTTGATCGATTGTCGATTTTCCTCTTATCGAACCCGAGAAACAAAGTCCGTCCGCCTCTCGCTGCCCGCCCGTCTGGCTGTCTGGCTGGTACCTGGTACGTCGGCTGTCTGGCGCCGGGTTCATCTGCACTCCCCATCTCATCTCTATTCCCTTAACCGTGCCTTTTCCTCACAAAATAAAAAGTTCCGTCAGAGTTT